TATAGACTACGATATAAGGGAAACTTCAGCAAAAGATAGCCAACCTGTTCTTTCTATGTATAATTCTCAGATCGAACACTTCAAATTCATCGTCGCAGATATGATACATCGGGAGCTCGTCAGCAGCAATGCCATCTCCATCTGCAGCTGCTTCAGATTCATTGGCTTCATCCTCTACTTCATGACTTCCATCTTTATAGCTACTGGTTGCATTAAGTACCGAGCTTTTCTCGATAACCTTATTTTGGGGATCATTGTGATCTTCGAACCCTTTCGAATAATCACGACAAGGAGCTGAATCACAGTTTGTGGCAATGTCTTTAACTGTTTCATTAAAACTCGGATTCAGATAACAACAATCAGCAGTCTTCTGGCTATAAAACTCTCCATTGGCAGCACAGCATTTGCAAAAAGGAATAGAATCCTCAGGAAACCCCTCGAAGCCTCCTTCAAGTTGATTATATCTATCGACACAATAAGGATGATCGATGACCTCGAGCAAACTTTCATCACTAGATGGAGCTGCACAACAAAGAATCGACTTCTCCGGAGCTGACAAACTACTAAATTGTTCATCTCTCTCAGTAGTCATTATGAACTTATCCTCACTTGGGCAGCCAAACAAATCCTGACCCTCAAGGGAGGGTGTCATGAAATTCACATCCTCTTGTTCATCATACCAAGGCAAATCGAATTCATGGTAATCGCGCGCCGTGTCGAACTGAGAGGCAATATCTGAAGAAGAATCTGATGGAATTCCATAAGGATTGATGAATTCTGCAACAGTAAAGATATTCTGAGCAATCTAAACTAAAACAAAACACAAAAATCGATTGGGAGAAAGAACACTAAAGATCAATGGAAGCAAATAAAGAAAGAACACTAAAGAAAAAAAGTAATCTCGTTCACTAATCACTTAAAACCCCATTTCTCAAGACATGGATCTAACAACAAATTAAAGCGAAGAAAGCATAGCATTCCATTTGAACTCACAACGATTAAGACAGCTCGAAGAGACCATTCCGCATTTCAGAAACAAACAAAGAATCTTATAATTAAGCTCACGATGATCAATCAGAACTTGAAATCAGATTCAATTCGTTTAAAATCATTACCAGAAGAGCAAACATCAGAAGTAGAAGACCTCAAGCTCACGAACTCGTCATCGGAGGAAACAGAGTCCGATCCAGAACGATCCTTGCCGTCGGCGTCGCCGTTGGAAAGAGCGGGAAATTTCCTGGAAACGGATGGAATTCTGAGGGGAGGTGGAGGAGGAACCATAGGAAAGAAGAATTTCTCAAAATCAAAAGAACCTAATCCGGATTTTTCGACCATATCCCTTTTGAGAGCTGACTCTGCCTCTGAGAACCCATTTTTCCTCAGAAATTGCAGTACTGCTTCAACGTCGGAAACCGCCATGGATGAAGGAAGAAGAAGCTCAAAATCTGAGAGATGATGGCGGAGTGTGAGAGAAACGAGTGAAAATGGTATTCGGAAGATATGGATTAAAGGAAGTGGAAATTATTTTGGGAGGACTCGGAATTTGCATGCTGCACACACCTTTCTCTCTCTCTATCTTGCTCCTTCACGCACTCTCCCTCCTCCTCTCTCTGTTTTATGTACTTTTTCCCTTTTTTTTCTCTCTTTTTTCTTTTGAATGTTCTGTGAAACTGAAGCAATCGAAGGGCGCCGATGATTTCCAGATTAGCAACTTTCAAAATGGATTAACCTGGGTTTAAGGGGTTTTCATTGGTGGGTCCCTCTTCATTATGGACGCTACGATTATCCACGTGGATTAATATACGCCCTATTCCAAATTTCTTTTTCTTTTTTTCTTTTTTCTTTTTTCTTTTTTCTTTTTTCTTTTTTCTTTTTATTTTTCGCGACAAGATTTTGTAGTCGTTGGGGACCGAATTCATTTCAACTTTTCTACTCCCTTTTTTCTTCTTTATATATATAATTTAATTGTTTATATTTATTTTTCAACCTCTTTCAATTTTTTTTTTTATAGTTTTGGCACATGTATTTTTCTGGGTATTTTTATATTTTTTTTAGTTGAATAATAAATATGCTGATTTAAATTCATAATATATTATATTGAGTATAAAAAATTATTTGAAGAATTTATTTGAAAGCGACTCGAGAAAATAAAAAACCATAGCTTATTTAAGGTTTAGAGAAGGCAGCTACTAAATTTGAGTTATACTCGTAGTATATATTTATAATTATTTAATTTTTATATACTAAAGAAATTTAAAAATAGTGTTAAATGCATTGAAAATCGACTAAGATATGGACATAAATTGATGTTACTAATGATTTTTAACCATACCCTTATTAATGAAAAGTGGTTATATTGAAAACGATACGTTCAAATGCAATGATGAAATAGACATAAATTCAAAAGTATGAAAACGAAAGGTATAATTTAACCTTTGAATATTATAATTAAAAATATAGAATATTAAAATAGGTTTTAGTTAATCATATTTTGTTTTAAATTGAATTTGAATACTTCCGTTTAGAATTTATTGGAATTAAAAAATTGAAGAATTAAAATATGGTAGAGTGAATAAATAATAATAAATGAAAAAAATAATAATTGAGAGGACTTTTAGGGGGTGGCTGTGATGAAGCAATGCACCCACCGCAGGGCCATTATGGTTGGTTTTTTTTAAATCACTCACACAAGCAGCTTTTTTTTTTTTTTTTTTTTTTTTTTTTTTTTTTTTTTTTTTTTTTTTT